CTAAAGTCAGTAAAATTCCTAAGAAGTTACAAAAAATCGATATTTTCAAAAATGTATTTAATTATTAAATTCATTTAAACTCAATTCTTAAAAATGAATAGATATATTGAAAGTATTCGGTGAATTATTAATTTTTTTCGCTTTTTTGTTAGTGTAAAAATAAATCAGCAGTGCAGGCTTATATTTGCGAAAAACTTCTCATAATCATGAAACAAGGTTCACTTCAGGATATTTTAACAATAAGAATTTAAAAAATTAATTCCGAAGAAAGGAAGTCATAAAAGATGAAGATTGCTGTGTTCTGCTTGGGAATTAAGTTTATTTTTAAGTTCAAGATAAATTATGAAGCAATTATTTCAAATTTACTATAAGTTGCAGCAGCAACGTGGCACACTCTAATCATGAATCGCCCATTCTAATTATCAATTAAAAATAGCTATATATATATATTTTTTGTATAGTTGCATTTCTTGAAGCACGAAAACATTTTTACCAATACTTAAGTAAATAAAATTTAGGATAAGTATGCGACATAGTTTCATTTGGTGACGAGCTTTGTTCCTAATTTTAAACTAAGTGAGCACAAATTCTCTGATTTCCTAGGAAGAACTCATCAAATCATACATTTCTGTATTTTTCCGTATTTAAGTGATTTTTGTCGTCATTTTGGAAACACCTGACACTAAAAAAGTAATATTTGCTCTAAGAAGTACTCTGAGAAAAATGTATGGCCAAAACTTACAGAATAAAACATTTACTGGGTTTCTTGCACTAGGGGAACTCCAAACAACCCGGTAATTTTTACTGAGGCAATTTGGTAATGACTTTGGTAAAATTAACAACAAAATATAGTTTTATAATGTATGATAAAATTTGGTAAATGTGGTAAAATTCGATAATTTTATCATAATACCTTAGAGCACGGCATAAAATCCATTTATTCGGTTAGATTTGCTTTTAAGTTTCATATCTTCTACTTAATGTGGGTTAATATGGGCTATAATTTTAAAAACCAGAACTTCCGGTAAATTTGGACATTTTATCAGAAGTTTAATTACTATACAGAACGGTAATTTCACCAGAATTTTTTCTCTGTGTACCAGCAAATTGCTTAAATGATAAAAACTGAATCACCAAAATATATCCAAATATGCTTGACTTCTTATCAAGCTAGATTTTGTTTTGAACAAAAATAATGGAGATAAAATGAATATCTTAAGCTGATAAATTATTGATCAAAACAAATCTAATATACTTGAATGTTTAGATCATAGTTGATTAAATATATGCAGATTACTTAAATCTATTGATGACTTCCATCTTTGATGATATTTAAACACGCGACTATTAGGAAGAAAAATATCACAAATAAAGTCATAAAAGATAAAATAAATTAATTTTTATAAAAACTATCTGAAATGAAAAACTAAAGAGTTTTTCATTTCATTGGGGCGACGTCTTTATCGGAATAACTTGAAACAAATTCTATTCAGAAAACCAATTGATTAAATAGAACCGGAATTCCATTTAAACACGAGGAAATAGAATTTCAAAACTTGGAAACTTTTTCAATTCATTTCAAAAACTATGTTTTTTGATATGACAAGGACAATAGGAAATTGTAAAGATTCTATAAGGAAAAAGCCTTTTGTTTAAACTGAAATAGAATTCAGTTTTGTTCGCGCAGTTTCGCTTTAAATGAAGTGAAATTTTATAAGTCAGATTATAATCGTAAAGAAGACTTATTAATTATTTTAAATTGAGAACCAAGTGACTGATTTTAAAACTATATTTACCGGTAAAAACAATTACATAATGATCTGAAGTATTCATAAATTTATTCACTTTAGCAATGGGCATGTTTCACTGTCTCGAGGAGAAATGAAATTTTTTCAACTCACTACTTATGAAAAAAACTTCAAAATATATACTGATAACATGTTAATTGCGCACTTTTTTTCTAATGTATACGTAAGTATCAAGCTATCAGTATTCATGAGCTGTTATGCTTAATTATTACGTTATCAGTACATAGTTTGAAGCTATCATAACATGGGAGCTTAACCCCCTTTTCACAAAATATGTTTGTATACTTTTCTGTTAACATTAAAAAATCACTAACATTATTTTATGTTACTATTTAACTTATAATGTTTGCCATTTGTTTTCCTATTATATTTTTTTAAACTAAAAGCTCCGCTCGTGATTGCTTCTAATTCATCATTGCTTTTTTTAATTAAAATGTGATAAGAAAAGGACATTTTGTTTATAAATTATGTAATTAGTGTTATCCTACGTAAACACATTATGTTAATACCTTAACCGTGATGAAAGAACTATTACTCGAAATTGAAAAAAATTCAACAATACTTGAAAAAAGAAAGAATTAAACTTAGAAATACAAACTGTGTAACACAATAAGAAATAATAAATGAGATGTAATTTTACTTGATAATAACATATAACGATTACTTAATTTATTATATATTACTAAAAAGTATAATAGTTCCAATAAAAATAAGATTTTGTGTCTCGAAATTTCGATACAAATATTAAGATTTGTATCTGGCAACACTTCTTTTGTTGTTACTTCTGGCATCAAGTAAAACGCAAGATTGTAGAAAGAAGTTCTCGAAAAAATTTATAAATAAAAATGTTACTTTCGGCAGCTCAAATTTCAAGACTGTGATTGAATTTCTGTCTACAGCAGAGTGGCCCACATGGTACTTTTTACTACAAGTTTAATCCTTAGTAATTCTCAAACTAATTATCGAATGTTAATTTTTTATTCCATCTCACTCTTTCTACATTTTTCTATGCGTTATCGTAATTTCAAGTCCCTAAGTTTTGTAAATTTTGTGCAGTAAAACAAACTGTAACTTAGAGTTTAACACTCGAAACAGCAGCGGCGTTTATTATAGATCTTCTCTACATAGGAAGATTATAAACTACCAGTTTTGTTAATGTTTTTTCAATGATATGCGAATTAATTAAGAGTGCTTCGACCCACAACGAGAAATGATTGACTAACAGAAATTAAAATAATTATTATGACCTATACAAGAGTCTAAAAATGTTACAAATAATAATTTTGTCTGAAGAAATATTAAACATGTTTTTACTAGTGAAAAATAGCAAATTTGAACTGGAATTGTTAAGTGAACTTAATTTGAATCAACAAACTGAATTATCTGAAGTCAATTCTACTATTGTTTATTTCTGTGTCTTCTTTATTTTGAGAAGTTTTCTTTATTTTTTTATGTTATGCCTCTTCTCCATATCTTTTTTGACACTGTCCAAAATTTCGATTTGGAATGATGCGTCAAATCTTCCTTATTGGCCCAATTTGATGCTCATGAATTATGGTCAAATCATGATATATGTTTCACATAATAAATAATAATTCACTAAAAAGAGAAGTACTCATCTGGGAAATTCCTATTAACCCCTTAACGATCGGTTAATTTTCAAGAAAACCGTCATGAAAGTGCCTATTATTTTGGCTTTTCTATTTGTATTACGTATTTGATTAGTGCTGCAACTAGTTTAAAATAAACTAACTATCTACAATTACCTTAAAAATATTCTGGTACTGTCATTAGGTGTGTAAAATGAGATATATAATTTTTTCCGGGCAAAGGAAATGAATTAGTTTTATTCTTATTGGCGCGTTACTGCTGAACACTCCAGCCCGTCAATATCACGGGAGCGAGAAATAGCGGGCGAAAACCCAACCCGACTTTTTCACGGGAGCGAGAAGGAAGGGGTTAAAACAAAGTTAGGCTCTATTTGAAGAGCACGTTTGACAACCTTGCATGGAGTACAAATTACCGCACTGTCTAGTATTAACATTTCTGGTAAAAAAAAGAAAAGCATACTTCTGATTAATAAAACCAAAATATGTGGTATTTAAACCATTCATTTGGTAATTTTTTCGTTCATATGGTAATAGTTTACCGGAAATTCTGGTGTTCAAAATTATAGCTCTTATTACCACACGTTTGGTAAAAAATTCAAAACTAAAAACTCAGAACTAAAAAGTATTATGGTAAAATACCAAATTATAACACATTTATCAAATTTTATAAGATATTATAAAACCATACTTTATTGTTCTTTTTACTAAAATCCCTACGAGAGCACTTCGGTAAGAATTAACAAGCTTTTTAGTGTTTCCATAGAGTTAGAAACATGGTAAATTTTACCATTATCGATAGTCTTCACCTTTTTTTTCTCAGTGTAGAATGCGTATGAAGAAATTAAAGTAATTTGAACAAAATTGATCTTTTTTGACAAAAATGTAAAAAAATTTATTCTGTTAGACATGTAATAATAAGATTGTAATTTTATATTAGTGTATTTTGCTAATAAGCAAATGTACCTCGATGACGTAATCGATGATATCATGAAGTACAAAATATTTTGTAATCAGGGTGCGTAGCCAAATTATTCAACAAAAAATAAGCACATTTTAAGCACTTTTCAAGCACTCAAAAAATATTTTTAAGCACTTTAAAAAAATATCATGATTAGGAAGGGTTGGAAAATTTTTGGTAATTTATGGTCTTATCTTGTTTTAACCTTCATGTAAAATTAAAAAAAACTTTTGGGTATTGGTTTTGACAATTCTGTCAAAAATCATGAAGTTTTGAATCATGTAAAACGAATGGCGTTTTCATATGCTAGGGACTGACAATACGTCGAAATAGATTGGGGTTGAATTTATTGTGAAAACATTGAATAAAGCAATGTGAACTGTATCTTTTTATATAATTCGAAACGAAAATCAACATAGAAAAGGAAAAAACTCATTTTGAAAAAAGGAAAATTAAGCACTTTTTAAAAACACTGAATGAAAAAAAGCACCTTTAAGGGCTTTTAAAAACCAAAAATCGAAAATAAGCACATATAAGCACTTTTTAGAAACGCTACGCACTCTGGTATTGACAAAAATAGAGATTTTTCACTGAAATTCTAATTTAATAATTTAAAGCATTTACTTCTGTGAGAATGGCTTTTGTTTTTTTGATTGTGATTCTACTTCCATTGTCTATGGTGGCAAAAAGACATATGCTTTCTCCTGGCACGTATCCTCCTCTATCTAACCTTACTCGACAAGAAACTGGACCAGCATTCAAGCAAGGTATTCCCAGAGTATCTTCAACTTCACAGTGAAATGGTTGCTGTGAAAACAAAACAATTCTTTTTGTATTAATTTTAAGGTTTAACATTTTAAAATAATAAACTGATCATTGACAAAAACGCAAAAGTATTTGAAAGAAGATTATTTTATGAACAAAATTCATGGCTAACACAAATTATGTTTTTAATTTTCGAAAAATAACTGTTCTGATCTTCTTGTTTACGCTAAATTACACCTAATAGAACAGCTTTGTGAATTTGTGGGTGAACTGATCGTTAAGACACGGTTCCCAGAAGATCACCGAAGTCAAGCTTCAGTGGCTGCGGTCAGTGTGCGGGTGGGTGACCACTAGGTTTAGCCTGCGTAGGGACCGAGGGTGTGCGGTATTGGTCCTCGTTAAATTGTTCTACCGTAAAGTGCTTGACTTCGCATGCAGGTCGTCGGGCTACCGAAGCAGGGGTGCCATCTCCTCTGCAGAGAATCAAAATTGTGATGGCATGTCTTCGGATCATCCTCAGGGATGTTTCGTTGATAGATGATCGTTGCCAATAGCCCATTGTGCAGCTCTAGTGCGACGTAAATGAACTACAACAACAACTTGTGAATTTGTGGTGATTATTGCATAGAGATTCCAAGCCAGAGACTGAGCTACATCCTTGAATGGAATAAATCCCTCAATCACAGTACATTTTGTGGTTGTGAATGGCAACTAGTTGGTTGCACTATTCCACTTTTTAACTATATGACGATAGGTATTCCTATCTCAATAGAAGCGCATTCGTATTTATTGCTATCTAACTCATTGATCATTGATAGATTTCGAGTGTGCAGGTAAGTGAATAGTGACGTCAACTTAGACATCTCTGTTTATGTAGCAATGATGATCACAAAAACAAAAAAATGCTTCTCTTCTCACGTATTTGTAACGTAGAAGATTTTCAAAAATGGAGACGTTTTACTTATTTATTTATTTTTTACTTTATGAAACGTAGTAATGGGAGATTTCTTGTTATCACAATAAAATACTTTATTTATGTTCCTAAAAGGTTCGATAGGCAGTACTGAAAACTCTGTTTCGTGCCGTCGTCACCCAGAAGCAAATGATTGAAAATTAAATTTTTTTTTTAATTAAGGTAAGCTTTTTGAAAATAAATGATTCTTTTTTTCTGGAGAAAAATTAGAGAAACGTATTGAGTTCTTTACAGGTAATATAATACTACTTTTCGAAATTCATCAATTTTCAAAACTCTTTTATTTGACTATTTTCTTATTTGTAAAGCTTCCTTCAGGTCTTGTAATCCGTTTGTACTCGTTTTCTGAGTGGGAGAATTAGTGACTATAAGACTTCTAAATTAAAATAAAAAAAATGAAAAATATTTCGTTCAAAAATTTTTATTGCAAATTTAAAAAATCAGAAAATTAAAAAAAAAACAACCGCTCAGCACATTCTTTTATACAGACTTGTTTAAAACTAAAGTGTTCATTAAAAATGTAATCAATGCTACAGCAGAAAAATATGTAGGGAGCAGAAAAGTATTGCAAGAAAAAAGTAATCGCAATAAAGACCACGTAGAATTAAACCTTCTGTATTTTTGTTAATTAACGCTAGATTGCCTAAGGAAGTCATTTTGACTGTTTTTAATTTCAATTAGAAAAACAATGACGCATATAATGACACAATTTCTTAGAATTTTGTGACTTTTTGTAGAACATATAATTCTTTTTTTTGCTAATATTTACTAATAACTTGTTACATAACTGCAAATAATATAAAAATTGTTATAAATTAATTTTAAACAAATTTATTTAAGCATTCACAATCCAGTCATTTTGACTGCTTTTGGGCAATTTTCGGTCTTTCTAGTGTTAAAGGCGTCTTGTTTTGTGGATATAAGGAAAATTATGTTTTTTTCCACATATTTTTAAAAACGACATACAATATTCTAACTTTTATTCTTTCGTTTAACTTAAAAAATCAAATCAAAGATTTCATAATATTTACCATTAATAATGATGGTTCTAAATTTAAGTCGATTGGGTTCATAACAATAAAAACTTGTTGATTTTTGTGAGTCAGCCCAGATGGTTCTTTGAGTGCCGTCTTGCAGAAATATTGAACCCACCCATGCTTGCCTAGAAACGTAGAGGGTAGGCCAAGAGGTAGGCCTAGTTTAAATGGAAAAGAATGCACACCAGGAGAAAGAATAATCATTCGATCAGATTCAACTGTTCTTTCAGAACCTAGAAAGAAATTAATTTCATTAGTGTCAGAAAATGTAAATTTTCACCTATGTCTCGTATAATCACTAAAATGTTAACATTTTTTGGGTGTGATTGAATTTAAATGAGATAAACATTTTAAATCCTTACAACACGAGAAAATGTGCATGGATATGTAGCTGGACATGAAACATTTTCAAACCAATACAATACGCGAAAGCCTTACAAATTGTACAATGTGCAAAAGGGCAGTGTTTCACGAACTTTTAGTGGTAGAGATTCAATTTTCAATTACAATTCTCATCACCCACTTTCATGTTATAAGTTTTACTGAAATCATGCTTTAATCATAATAAAAGTTTCTATTTAAATAATTTAATTTAATTGCATTTTGAACTAAATTCTCATACATAATTCATAACAAACATAAAAAATTACTTAAAAGTTCATTTTGTTCTGAAACCTATTGCAATAACGTTAGTATACAAAAGTTTCTCAGTTTTCTTCAACTATTACCCGATATTTATTTAAAAATATCTGAACCCATGAGTATGTAAGACTTATATCAATACTCTACATAGTGCGTGGAAATGCATTTAACTCTAATTTGCCTCTCTCGGCCACTATGGTTGTTCTTGTTCTGTTTTTAAAATTATTTCTCTCTCGTCTGCTGTTTTTCTAGATTTGCTTTGCTCTTATATTTTTCCATTTTCCGTTGTCAACTTTATGCTTTATATTTCAACTCCCTTTTGTTTTTTCTCTTTCACTTCAGGCAAATTTTGAAAATGTGCTCCTATTTTTGAGAGCTTGAAACATGCTGACTATTATTTCCATTTTGTATACTTTTGAAGTGAAAGAAGTTAATTAACTGTACTTAAGTATTCACGACTTTACCTTTTAAGTAAATCATTTTATATTTGTATGGATAAATTAAAGTTTTCCCCCACTCGTATACACGTATTTTTAGATGAACATTCCAATATTTTTAGATTAAAACATACTTTAGTACAATTCGTATAAATCACGCCCTGTAAAAATACTGCTTAATTTACGGGAAAAAAAACTGTCATCTGGTATGCTAGTAACAAAACGTTTATTTCACGAAAAAATACTGCTATTTAAAAGCGAATACCTGTTTTTAAGAAGAAAGTATTGATATTTTAACAAAAAACTCTATGAAACAACTATGTCATTGCTGTCGATAAAAGCCACGAGCAGAACTCGCTCAACCAGTCAACCTAGGATTCGAACCTGGGCCACCTCATTGTGAGACAAGTGCTCTGGCCCCTGAGCTACTAAAGCTCTAACTTCCATTATGAAAAAAGATAATCTTAAGATGACATTATCTTATTGAAATACTATTTAAGTGCAATAACCAAAAGTGAGTTTCCCTTTATAAAATTGTCTGTTAGTGGAACTTTTACCAAAAAGATAACCAAATAATTATATTGGAAGAAACATAGTAATCCGATAGAGTATCATTTTGAAAATGAAGTCGATTTGTAGTTTTATTTCTACGATGTTCCAAACCATAATATAATTGTTAAGAACTTAGAGTTAATATAGAAAATAATCTAATAATGATTTGGATGGAAAAAAAATGAACTTTAAAAATTTTAATGACAAAAAATTGAATTTAAACTGGCGATTTTAATCCGTTTATGATTAAAGTGAAATACAGAGAAAAAACATTTTGTCAACAAAACAGTTTCATCCGTCAAATAGACAGAGAAAGTTCGTAAAAAGGCGGAAATTTTTTGCACTTAGAATCAAGTTTTATTTCATTTTAAAATAATCAAGTTCGATTAAAATACTAAACTCAAATAAACTAAGATTAATTATTATATACAATACTCCGAAAGAACTTTTTAAGTTTGATTTTTCTTTTTAATAAGTTACGATTTAATGAGAAAATTCAAGTATTATCTGAGATTAATTCAAGTATTCTGGTAATTTTATCACCAGAAAAGATGGTTATTATATGTAATTTAAAGCAAAGCCGTAAAAAAATATAAGCATTGCTAGAAAAAATATGGTTCCAATTTTCCTTTAATGGCTATTTGAAACGCCGAAGTTAAATTTTTAAGAAAAAGAGCGTTTCAAATCGAACAAGGATTATTTTTCTAGACATAATTAGTTGTTATGAAAGAAATGTAAAACGAACAGTCTAAGTGTAGGATTACAGAAGATTTTGCAATCGTTAGAAAATCTGATTTAATATAATAAAGGTGATATAAGATCAAATATGATGACAGGTGGAACAAAAATCCACTGGGGGCATAAATTATCTTCTGCTGCAAAAAGTGGAAATAAGTAGCCCTTTTAATACGAAATTACCGTACTGTATGGTAATAAGATTAAAAAATAGTTCTTGTTACCACGTCTTTAGCAAAAAATACAAAACTGAAACGTAAAATTAACTAAATAAATGGATTTTGTGCTATGTTCTAAAGTAACTTGATAAAATATTATAAAACGATATTTTATTGTTAATTTTACCGAAATCATTATCAAAACGCTTCGGTAAAAACTGCCAAGTTTTTTGGTAAAGTTTCCAATATTCTGGTAGTGTTGACAAACTTTTTTCTTGGTGCAATATAAATGAAAATAAAAAAATGACTGAAGCTAAGATACTTATAAATTAACTTACAGAATTATAGTAATAAAGTAAATGTAGAAATTAATAAATACCAAAAATGTATTGGAAATTCAAATTGTTTTAAGAACTTGGCAAATATAAGTTTGTTGCTTGCTTAGGGCATAGGAAATTTTAGTTTTGAAATGAATTAGTTTCCATAAAAGTTGATTTTGATTTCAACGGGAAAGCACCAATGTTTAACTCTCTTTCGATTTTGTATAACTTACCTAAACTTTAATATAGGGTTCTGAATTTTTCAAAGGAGTTTATCATAAACATGAACATTATTTAAATACAAAAATTTCTTAGAAAGAATGAAAAGCACAGCTATAAACAAAAATAAACAACTTAAGAAATGTTTGCTGATGTAGTCCACCTATACTACCAAGTTAATGTTGATTATTGAGTTTATCTGAGTTATCGAATAAAAATAATTAAATAATAAAGAAGCTACAATAAACTTTTGATTAATGAGAGCTATAAACATGCAAATAACACTGAAGATATACTTAAAATATTTGATAAAACAGACCCAAATGGTCTGATAAAATATTTAAACGATTTCAAGGTTAAAATTGCTCGTTTCATACATTGTCTAAATTTCAGTATGGTTGGAAAAACGGTTCTAGTGTTATAAGAGAGACATACACATAAAAACACTTTATTTTAACATAGATTTTTTTAAAACAAGAACGGCAAAAAATTTTATTTCCTAACATTAACATCAATAGAATAAACTTTCTAAGTAATTTTTGGCTCCAAAATAATAATTTTAGCTAAAGAGATCGGCAAATAGTTCGCTTTTTTTGTGAAGATTTAAAGTGAGAGTTTTGTGAATTTGAGAAAATTAGCTTTAATTTTTTTGAGTTGACAATAGAAAATAAAGAATATATTTTGCTTTTACTAGTTGAGTGTACAGACTTCCAATTGTCGAAGTCTTTAAATCCATCATAATTATTTTCTTTAAACTATACGCGTAATAACGCTTCAACTTTGTGCCAAAAGAGAGGTTTTTTAAAATTTTACTAACGATTGTTTGGTGACTTCTTCTACACCGATAAAACATTTAAAATTTGTTCTTTAGTACCTTTATTCGTTGAGATCTTGAAAAAGTAAAGACATAGCAAAAGTGAATGTTGTCTATGTAAATGTGACTAAAATAAGATCATTCTTCAAAATATTATTTAAAAAAATGTTTGCGATCCATTTCAACTAAACTGAGCAATTATGAATAATATAACTTTGTACATGTTTAAATTCAAATATCAAGGCATATAATCCTTTGCTTAGCAATCAATTGAAATGATTGTTTGTAATGTATAGATTATTTAATGTACTGAAGAATAGGTCTTAAAATTTTATTACGCTAAAAATAGGGAAAAAAACTTTCCTGTGAGTAATTACAAGTATCAAAAAATTCTGGTTTGATACTTTAGAGCGATTTAAATTAACTCAACTTAATTTGAATTTTATATCTTAACATTTCATGCATTTTGTTTGAATTCAAAGGATGTTTCACCATATTAGGTAGAACACCCACCCATGCATTTCAGTGAGTAAATAAAGTAAACATGTAGAAGTTTTTACCTAACCTCAAACCAGCAAAGAGAAAGTTTTGAAGCAACCACAGATGATTACAAGGATATCACGTGGGTTGATTAGTGAGTTTTTGTTTCTGTGCTGTAAACCTGATAGCGGAAATAGCAAGCATGTGGGTATTCACCGAACATGTGATGAGCTTTTGTTTGTAATTAGTTTAATTACTTATTACACGTTCGAAATAATTAGAAAATCTTATTAAAAGGAATCTTGTTTACGACCAAATTGCAGAACAGTATAGTTCAAACGTTTTCCTGAAACATTTTTTTTTTTCGAAGACAAGGTCAAAACTCGAAACAAAAGATAAATCTAAATAAGGTAAAAGTAAATGAGGCTCTTGTTCAAATTGAGATTAAAAAAGTTGATTTAAGTTCTTAATTAGCCTTTTTCTCTTCACATTGTGTTGCCTAACATTTACAATACGGGAAATATCGCAGGCATTTTGAATGGAAGAATGAAGATTCATGCAATGAAATTTATTTTAATATTTTAAATTTTATTGAAATTGTTTTATGGTAATGTTTGGGTTTCAATAAAAGAATGCCAATGATTTATTTAATTGGGTGCTGAAGATCATTTTTTTATATTATTTTACTCTTTAGTAGGTGTCTTAAATGCATGAACTAATGAACATAATGTATGGCACAAAAACAAAAACTTCCAAATTCACTGAAAAAAAGGATTCTTTCAAAATTCAGTAAAACTGTGTCAAAATAGCTCGGAAATAATTATAGTCGAATTTGAAAACCTCAAATTATATTTATTATTCAATCAAATTGTATTT